CAATATTGTGCACAATTCGCTAATGCAAATATCCTACTGATAAATAAATAGATAGGAATATTAGACGGTTTTTATACGTTGAAAAGTGTACAAAACTTTTGGCAGGTTTTGAAGGTTTATCTAGAAAAGATGTTTTTGTGGTGGTCGAATTCCAGGTGCAGTTATATTGAAATGAAATGAAATACCTTTATTGTACATTCATGCCACGACGGACTAGGTACAGGTCAAGACATAACAGACACATAACAAACGTATTTATAAAATTGGAGACAAAAGATGCACTACTTGACTTAAACATACATACATAAGGAACATACAAGGGTACTATACTAGCTATAGGCTAATACAAAGTGTTCTAGTTACTGAGCTAATATAGAGAGGTCAACTTCTTCTCGCTTTTTTGTACAATGGAAATGTGGGAGCAGATCATGTTTGTGATACAGCGTTTGTCTAGACACATCAAAAATATAAATTTATCATCTGCACTTAGGTGTTCAAAGTATGGGAACTTCTCTTTGATATGATTAAAAAGGACACAGATCTTTCATTTGAATATTAAGTACAGTCTAAAGTAAAGTGTTGTTCATTCTATTCATGTTACAGTATTGACAGAGTCTATTCTAGAGAGGAATATTTATCACACTGTCGGCTGGAAACTCCATAAGTTAAAGAGCTGTGAGAGAAGCGATACTATTCAACAAATTGATTGGCAGGCGTAGTTAAGTACGTTTCCTCTTCGTGACAACATTAAGGGGTTCCCCGGAGCTCTACTACACGGGGGCGGCTGTCATATCATTGGCTTACGTTTTTCGCTTTTGATTTTGGCCAAATACAGCTTGCAGCGGGCGGCGTAAACTAGTGCGAACTGGCGTAAACTAGTTACTCTTGAGGATTCAATAAATGTCAAAGCCACATGGTCTCTGTTTGATAAGCAGTCACTGTGGTGTTAACGTGGAGGAGCTTTTGTTGACATGAAAATACGCCCAAGCCAGAGGTCCAAAATGGCGCATTAGATGTAGTTTCTACATGTAGTATCGCTTTACCTTGTGCTCAAGTTTTTTTTATTGAAAAATATAATGACAAGACGCGGTGGCAACACACTCAAGTTACACTTATATTCATGTCGCCACCAGACAATACATAATACATACAACAAGCAAAGCACAGATAACATATTGCAATTGAATACAATGATAAATAAATGAACAGGTGGAACAGATATATAAAAAAGCTGACGGGATTGATCAATAAACTATGTTACAGAAAACGGTGAGATTCCAACAAAAATACCTGAACATCTTGTAATATTTGAATATTGTACGTTGTTGAGAGAGAAGGAGAACCATTTAAAAGAAAATGTAGCAGAATATCATCAGAAAGATTATCCAAAGTAGTAGAGCCAATCAGTGTTGTCAAGTCGTCAAAAAGGATATTTCGCTGTTGAGTGTAGTTAGGGCAGTGTAACAGATAGTGACAAATGTTTTCACATGGGTGACCACAGGAACAAGCTGGACTTGAAACTAAATTACGAGAGAATAAGCTTTGGTTTAGACTGTGTGTGCCGAGCCAAAAAACGTGTAGGTAAAGCGCAGGAGTAACGGGGGCCGGAACTAAAGTAAGTAATGGGGCGTACAGTTTTAATCATTTTTTTAACAAGGGGAGGCTCAGCGAGCGATCTGCTTGTGCTCAAGTTAGAAATAACAAGAAACAGAAGTCACTGATCACTGAATTTAACCACTGATTATATGTTTTTCAGACAAATGTCTCGCTAATCTACAAAATGCACATGCATATGTCCACATGCCCACCAGACCTGAAAAAGATGCTTCCCCAACCTTACACAATCAGACGCACAACTCGCAACAGTCTCTCCACTGGAAAACATGCCCTCACCGTGCCGTTGTCACAGCACCCCC